AGTGTCGTGGAAAAATTGAACCAGGTTGACCACTCGTATCTCGATGTTTCCTCGTATCACTCATCACTCATAACATGGAATACTTGTATTCCAGGTAGCTTGTATCCCCAGGTTCCACTATATATATATATATATATATATATATATATATATATATATATATATATATATATATATATATATATATATACATGTATATAAATTTGAGAAAATAATTTCAAATTACATATATATATATTCTTTATACTTATAATATTTGACAAAATTTCAAAAGACATGTCTAGAACAAGCGATGAGATTTTGGAATAAACCAACATCATTTGCTCTATCAATGTTCTATATAAACAATAACTGTGTGGAAGACAGTGACATTTTCTGAAAAGGTCAGAGAATGCTGTTAGTGTGTCTACAAATGTGGAGAATATTCTCCAAAGAGACATTGAAAACTGACAAACGATAAGTCAGGAGTCCGTTTTCTTCAGAGGTTGTTAACTAGCAGGGGTTTCCTAGTTGTTCTTCTCGTACCTGCATACAGTCCATGTCCATTTAAAGCCCAGAGTATTACAAATACAAAATTACAATTATACTCATGCTGGGTATTTAAAATGTGAATAATGTCAGAGCACATACAGCCTGGCCATTTTCATTTCTTGTCGACTGTCGGCTAATTGGCACAGTGTTGTGTGTTGTTTAGTTTATTTGGACATCAGTGTGTCAGTGGACATCAGTGTGTCAGTGGACTTCAGTGTGTCAGTGGACTTCAGTGGTCCTGACATCTTTTTAAACTCGGGGTCTTGACTGATCACTCATCAGGTTACACATTTCTCAAAGCATTTCTTTGGTTCACCAAAGTTTCAAAGTGCACCCGAGGACAGTGGTCCAGGTGAAGAGGGAGAATGACAGAGGTGAAATTCTCTACGAGACTCGCGTCGTTCTTCTCAGGTCGTAGTGAGTTTGAGTTTGAATGGTATGCTTTTAAGTTAGTCAAAACGAAATCTTCACTGTCATCACTGACACTCTCCAGACGTTTCAGTGGATTGTTAGCCCCCAGTTATAAAGCACAGATGAAGTACAGGACGTGAGCTCAGTGAATGGACAGTGTGATCGTTTCTGGTTTGGAGCTGAGAGCGTTCCAGTCTCAGATGTTTGTCACATGAACAGAGTTTTACAGATAAGGCTGTACAGGAATCGTGTCTGGTAAGAGTGAATTCTCTGCCCTTATTTCTTACCACTGGATGCACTTTCACCCACCGCTGTTCTTCACACTACATGCATGTGACATTCTTCTCAATGACATTTTCCCACTCTCTACATTTCCCTTGTCTTTGAAACTATTTTCCTCACTCAACTGTCGACACATGCTTACTCACCCATGGCTCACACAGAACAGAGAAAGTTTGTGTGTTTTTGTTGCAGATGTTTTTTTCCCTGGATGCACTAGAACTGTAATTAACATAGGTGACCCCAACACTGTTATTGGCTATATTCCTGGGGGGGAAAGGAAGAGAGAGGAGGAGGCAAGGCAGGGACAGTAAATGAAAATGGAGGTGGAGTTAGAACTGTCCTCTGCCTCGCTGCCCTGATATGTAGCTCACAGGATGAGCCTGACATCAGGTGCCGGCAGCAAATAAGGAGGAAGATAAAGAGAGAGACATGATTTAGGAAGGGAAATGAAAATTACAAAAAAAAAAAAGAATAAGTAAATACTTTATATAAAAAAAACGTGGCTGCAGAGCTCACATTTACTATGCAAGTCTCTCCTTAGAGAAATGCTGCTGCATCATGGCCCTCTGGGGAGGACAAATGTGGAGGGGTTACTGTTAGAGAAAGGAGAGAGAGGTAATGAAGGTGAGGAGGAGTAGAAAACAAAGCAGCAGACGGTGGAGGAGAAGAGGACACACAGCAAGTTGACTGTCTGACTAAAACCAAACTTTTAGAATATTCCTGAACATGTTAGCCTAACGGAAATATCACTGAAAATAAGTTTATTAAAGTCAGACTTTGACCCTTAGGTAATGTGGTTAAAAAGTTCGGGGTTTTTTTATGGTAACATTTGGAAATGTTCTGCACACACCTCAAAAATAGAAGCTTTGACGCAGAGGTACAGGAATAGCACAGCATTGACCCTGTCTGTTTACCAGTCAGTGACATCATCTGCCCTCACTTGGTCTTTAGTGACAGATGACAGTAATTATGTCGATTTTTTTTTACTTGTAAACAGTGGAAAAAAAGTGATGGTAACAGCAGTCAGAGTCTAAAAAAACAGAAGGAAAGATCAAGGGCAGTCATGTTTGTGTCTGTGACGTCAGGCAAAAGTCAAGGTCAGAAGATGGTGACACATTAACCAGTTTCAGCCCAGTACTGTCCTCAATCTAATATTATTATCCATATTTTACGGCAGAGTCAGCCGTACGTACGTTGGTCAAAATCTGATGTTCATGTGCATGTGCACTGTAACGTCTCTGAACCGACAACAGTCATTCCATTTAGCCGTGGCCGTAAAACTGCGGCTGACAGGGAACCGTTTAAAAATGTTTTCACTCGTTTCAAGACGGAAAATGACAGCCGACAACTGTAAACAGTTGATGGATCATGACTCCGTCTGCTGCTGAGACTGAACTGTAAACACCCTTGTAAAGTATCAGCTTTTTTACAGTATTTCTTTATATACAATCTGCATGCAGCAGACGTGCAGGTAATAAGAGTGAGAAGCAAGGAAAGGACACAGGATTCAGGGCAAAACTGCTCAAATAAGAGCATTATAGCCTTCTGTCTAGAGGGGAAATAATTAGATACAATGTGCTCTATAGAGATTTAAATGGTCCATCTGTCAAATAATACCCTGAAGATCCTTCTATGATGACTTTGCTCCCTGAGCTCCGCATGTGAATCAGGTGCTCAAAATATTTGAAAGTGCATCATTAAGTCTCTAATCCAGTTAGGGTGGGGTTACATCTTTAACCTCAACTCAAATCACTCCTCCTGCCCTCCCCCCAATCCCCCCACCCAAAAAAAATAGGAAAGTCAAGGGCAGCGTGTTTCACTGCAGGTAATTGTAGCTCTTCAGAGAAAACACCAAAATGCACAACAAGAGGATTAGGTTTGATTACACGTTTAAAAACAAGCAACTGAAGTAACAAAGAAGAATTTAAGAGCCTGTTCAAATCCAGCACATGGCAGGCACATGCTAAATTAAAGAGACATCTGTTCTGAGTAATTTATTCATCAAAGTGGAAATGGAATTTGATTTTTTTTTTCTGCTCACTTTTTTTAACAAAGTTGATTTAAAAAAAGATGCTTTAGAAAGTGAAAAGAAATGTGGAAACTGACAAGGGTTAGGGTTGGATAGGTCATAGGTAAGTGACCTCAGTCAGAACAGACTCTGTGAAGCTGTAAGACTTACTTTGGCTCTCTAACACAAAGCTGAGAATGAGTCCATTAACCAGATACTTAAACTTCAGTGAGGTCACACAGCTTATTGACCGGCAGACAAAAGACTCTGTTGAATTCTTCATTAAAATTCCCCGACAAACATTCAAACCTGTGTCTGTAATATTTCACATTTTGTTTGTGAAAATTAAAAATACACAGTAAAATATGTTTAGGAAATAATATATAATATAATACCTGTCCCTGGTAATTTTCCTTTTTTCACTACTGAATCCGTAGAAGGAAGAAATAGAAGGTTCCTAATCCTAATCCACCTAAACCTTAGGGGCAACGATTGTGTTTCCTGTCCACTGTCTGTCTGGTGTTGTTTGATGTAGGTCAGACACGGTGATAACTGCACAGTTAAACACAGTATTACTGTGGTCTTTGTCGTCTGCTGTGCCTGCTTCATCCCTATTAGCTGCACATGTTAGATCCAGCCTGTTTCTTCTGCCTCCCAGGCTGATGTGAAGAACCTGTCCTCACAGTGTTGAGACGTCACCCAACCTTCCCTTCGTTCCTCCTGAGGTCAAGGAGAATTGAAAACATTTTAGTCACTGGCTACATTTCTGAAATCAGTGAGTCCGTTGTCAGTATTCCTTCTGTAAAGGAGCAGAAACACCAACACCAACAGTGTGTTCCCAACTCTTGGTCTTGAGGTGGCCATGCTTTATCCAGGAAGTGAGGTCAGGATACGTACTGCTGCCACTGCCAGGAACTCTGGCGCGTCAGCACGGACTGACTTTGAGTTTGTGTGTGGTTCCCCTATAGAATCGGCTGTGTTTAAAAATCCCAGCCTTAACAGGACTAATAAACTCAGGGGGACCAAAACCAGGACACGAAGATCCAGCCCGTTGTTCTCAGAGCCCAGGTGGAGGTTAGGTGAAAACTGTAATTTTGTTTGTGTTTTTTAAATAAAGGTAAAAGGCAGGACACATTGACACTGTCCTATCTAGAACAGCCCTACAGATTTGTGTTTGTGTGTGTACACGGTTCCAGTAGTTTCACAGTAGTTACATACTGCCCTCTAGTGAAGGCAGCTGTAAATGAAAGAAGAAACCTCAAAAGTCTTTCTTTAATTTTCCCACCGACTCTGCCGTCCCTTCTACCCTCTTTCTTAGTGGTTCATTAGGGGTTTAGCTGAGGGCCTTCCTCCCAGTGAAGTGAGTGGTAGCGAGGCAAGGGGCTTGTGTTGATGAAGGTGGGGTTCTCTGCCAAGCACTTATCCCCTTGGCTGTGTAGAAAATGATTTTATTAATTGCTTTGTTTAACGTTCGCTTTGTTCCCTCCTTCCTTCACCTCTCACACCAATAATAAAACAACACAACGCACTTGGACGCACGCACGCATGCATGCAAGCAAACGCACACTCACACAGTCGTACTTCAGCTAGGCCACTTGGCCTGTACACAGTTAAAATGTGTGTGTGTGTGTGTGCGTCTGGAGGGAGCTGTAGAGAGAACTGTAGAGTCATAAAGGCCATATGTTCAGCCCATTCAGATGTAATAGCAGGGAAGCCCAGTATGGCACATTATAGAGAAGAGCTGTGTGTGTTTTTGTTTTTTTAGAAAGAAAACTAAGACATTTGTCCAGTGACCCACTTAAAGTACAACATTTGTAATCATATAAGACCACTGACACTGTTCATTTCTACTCAAAAACATTTGGTTTTTTATTTGGAGCGGAATGTATATATGTGAATGAAGCAGGTGACAATGTTAGGAGTAAAGACAGGGCAGGTGAAATTCATGGATGATGGACAATAGAGGTGGAAACTGAAGGCAGAGCTCTGTGGCTATGGTCACTAGATCTGTGATGACAAGTGCAGATCTGGACATGGACACAGTGACATTGTCTGAAACGGTGGTTTTCAAAGTGGGGGCCACAGCCCAATGGGATATGTCGATGTTTCTTGTTGATGTTTTGTAGCAATGTCTGTGTGTTTACAAAGGAGGTCCTAGCCAGAAGCTAACACTGTTTGGGAAGGGTTAGCATGGAACGGCTGGGAACCCCTGGACTAAAGGAGCAGCTGAGCTGTTGGGGGTCAGGTCAGAGAATCAGTTCAGGTGGAGAATTTAGAGAGAAATATTCAGAGCTTTTAGACGTTCCCTTTGGGAAATTAAGGCTCCAGCAGCAGAACAACAGCAAAAAGACACAGATAAGACAACAAAATACAAATACAAAAGGATTAGCAGCACACTGTTGAGGAGCCTGAACAGTGGATGTTAGTAGATTAGTAGGTTAGTAGTGGTAGATTGATAGGTTAGTGTTAGGAGTTTATTGTTGCTGTGTGTGGCGTTGTAGATTGTAATCTCAATTATTATTTATTATTATATTTTTGTAATACTATTGTTATTATTAAATTAAATTATGTATTACATATATAAACATATATATACATATATATACAATACATATATACTTGTATTTATGCAGCAAATATCACTAGGGGTTACTATACATACATAATATTATATAGGATAGATATTGGTAATATATTTATACACAGTATATTAGTTGCATATACATATACATATATACACATATACATTTTATAAATATGATATAATATCATACATAACTGCAACACATAAAAGCATAGGAACGAGGGGGAAGATTTGGACATGAACATCTGAGATTAGTTCTTCAAGATGTTCTCATTTACCCTACAAGTGTCTTCACATCTCTGTGCAATGGTATCAAAAAACTGTTTTATTGGACAAAGGCGGATGGACCAATAAATGATGGACTAAAGAGAATATCTTTCAAGAGGTTTTTCCATGCTGGCTTTTCATATTTGTGACAATGACAGTTTCCTCAACAATCAGTGCAGCAGGGACAGCCTCACCGTGATTAAAGAAGTGTCTGTGTTGAACAGCCATGCTGCTGAGAATTGCTTAACACCTTTGCTGTTTGAAAAAAACACTTAGGATTCTGTAAATAACTTATCTGCTGATGAGAAGTATCAGTGAAACATGTATGGACACGCTCAGGAGTCCCTCCAAAACCTGAGCGTTTATCTAATGTCCCTCTGCTCGTGGGAACCAACTTGTTTCAAGCTGTCAGTCAGGTTTGTTTATTTTCCCACTGTAGCAGCGCCCACGGTTCCTGATGCTCCGTGCTGTCGACGCTCCGCCATCTTAGCCGTGCCAACGGAGAGCGCTTACGTAGAAATTGTGGAACAGTGGGTAGGGTGGGAAACTGGAGGAGATGCAGGCCGGGGAGAGCACGATTCACAGACTGTGTGAGGTGTGATTCTTTTTTTGCATGCCAAGAGATGTATCTGTGCCTCCTAAAAAAGCAGACACAGACTTGTTTTGAAGTGGAAACCTATACAGTGGGTTCCTCTGTGTTAATAATAAATCAACACATTAATGGGAAACAGTTGTGGCTGGGGTGGAGCTTTTAGCACAACCTGTACTGAGCCAACCTACAGGGTGTGAGACTTCTGTATTAAAACAGTACCTAACAAATGTGTCGCCTGATGCTGATATTTCCTGCTCTCACAGGATCAGGATGGAACTGGTACTGTTTACTAGCAACCAACACAATTAGAACAATTAAGAAAGGCTTGATTCAAACGTACACATCAGGTCAACGTGAATGTTACACATTCGCTGGCTGCACAAAAGCATGGTCTCAGGACACATGTTGTCATAATGATGAGCAGTTCACCTCCCAGCAGGACACTGGCCTGAATCCTATTGGTTAATGGGCCTTTCTGTGTGACATTTACGTGTTCTCCCCGTGTGTGGCTTCTCTCTTGGGGCTCAAGCTTAAGTTAATTAGACGACGATAGCTGTGACTGTGAGTGGAAATAACTGGCCGTGTTTTGTGTGACACTTAACTGGAAAAATGGTTTAAATTGAATAATAATATTTATTTATTTTTCTTCAGTATATGTATTAATTTAATTAAGATGGATAATTGTGGATTGTGGGCAGAGCCAGAGTTTGGATAGAGCAGTGCTGCAAGTGTTGGACGGGCAGTTGGTTTGGATTTGTTTTAAAATATGACGTTAGTTCAATACTTTTGAAATGTAATTTTTCAAATTTGTAAAAAGAAAAAGGGTTTGAGAGCTCCAAGAAAGTAACAGTAGTAGACCATTTCAATTGATTTAAAGCAGGGGTGTCATTATGGAGCCTTAAATTCATGATGTCACAAATGTGATCATTTCTACTTCTAGTTCTATTTTCTCCAAGAAGCAAACGTCAGTACCTACTGTATATATTTATATGTGTGTGGTGCACAGCAGCACATCTTAAAAACTGCCCTCACAATACTTTTTTACAAAACTACCTTAGCGACTGTCTCAGAATAACCTGGATAGTTCTTTGGTGAAACACTGAAACAGAACATTGATTTCAGTCCAACCTCGTGAACAGATTTGACCTCATCTGGAAAATAAACATTTCCTGCGCATGAAAATCAATATGTCCGTCTGCAAATTTTCCAAGCTTTTCTTTGGTAAAGTAGCAAAGCAGATGCATCGTTAGACTGCAGCAGACAAGATATCCTGTGTTTCCTCTTTAGTGAAATTCCATCATGTGATTCATGTAACTGTGTCAGGAAAGGGTCACATTGTTTGTTGTCACTGTTTGCGGGTTTGATCATGTCATCTTTACAGTCTGTGTTTAATGACAATGTTAATTTTGACCATGCTAACGAGACACGTGTTACATTTATTATTTCTTCTAAAGTCAGTACTTCACCAACATTTTTGTACTTAGATCGACCTTTTCTTTCTTCCCTCAGGGTCCACCAGGATCTCAGCCTTCCCCTCACACACAGCCTCCTCCTCACAACCCCAGTAATCCCATGATGGGACCTCACGGACAGGTAAGAAGAAAATATTAACCCTTCAAGTCCACATGATTCTAGTGATAAGTAAAGTTCTCCTTTATAATCATTTTTAAGGTTCTACACTAAGTGTCTACTTGTGTATGGTGACATCACACACCGCTGTATAACATTAGATATTCAGCAATGATACATCTACTGTTCTGCATTATTGTCTATTTTCCTCTAAACAGTACATTATAATCTATAAAAATGTTCTGCTCAGGAAGACCATCAACGTAGATAAAAGAAATACTCATTTAATTATCCACTCACTAATCCATCCAAACAGCACTCAGGTCAGTGTTGTGCTAACAGACAGCACAGGCAGCATCCACCATGCTCAGTGGGATGAATTATTTAGCTGCGTTTCCCCAGCTGTGAGGAGCAGAGGTGCATCTGAAGGAGCCTCCGTTCTCCCTGAACCAGGAGCCTAGCACTCGCCATCCTATAGACCATCAATACACCATTAATATTGCAGCACAGCCTGACATGGCACAGCTCTTTGTCCACAGACCTGCTATAACACAGTCAGGAGGAGAAGAGGATACAATAGTAGTTATTCTGTCTCTTTTACTTCCCCTAACCTCCCCTCCTCCACCCTTCCTCTCAAATCATGTTCACGGTGCAGGTCGTCTCTGTTATTTGACCCTTATCCTAATAACACTGCCACTTTACTCATCCCAAACCTAGAGTCGACTCTTGAGTCAAGTTGAATTTCTCCAGTTTTTACTCAGATTAATATTAACAAATTAATCAACACAGTTTATCTGCTCTCTACCTTGAGATATTGAGTGTCTACTCAGAGCTAAATGTTCCAGGAGCTCATGTTGAATCCTTGGTGCTCTAGAAACATGTTCTTTAATGCTGAGTAGCTCAGTTAACAAACATCATGATCCTCGCCCTGTCTGTCCTGCAGCCATTCATGTCTCCACGGTATCCAGGTGGCCCCAGGCCCTCCCTCCGAATGCCAAATCAGCCTCCTGGAAGCATCCCAGGGTCACAGCCTCTCCTGCCAAACAGTCTGGATCCCACCAGACCTCAAGGTAACATAACTAAGATGCTGCGTTACGGTAGAGGAGCCACACTGGAGCTGAAATCTGTGAACAAGCTGAAACGTTTTGTGTCCTACCACAGGTCATCCAAACATGGGAGGACCAATGAGGATGAATCCTCCCAGAGGCATGGGCGGCATGGGTCCACAGGTAGGCACCAGCGATCACAGACACTGACCCAGATGACACACTCCCACTCACAGATGACACACAGATTCAGTGCTCTGACTGTCAGTTTATCGTGAACAAACTCAGTGTTTGGTTAACCTTCGTTTTATAGCCGTCATAAAAATAGCTATAATTTCACACCAACATTCATAACGTCCTCGGCTTCAGCTGAGGAGAACTTCTGCTTCTGCCAGGAACATGGCTCTGACTTTTAAATGTCACATGGGCTCTAATGAGTAGCTTTGCTCCAACCACAGCTTGTCCACTGCCAGGTTCAGTTTATCCAAAAAAAATGTTTTTAGAGAAACTACCACCTTTACATCGAGGCCTGTATATATGCAGATTATATATGATAACATATACATGGGAGGCTTGTTGCCTGTTTTCGATGCAGTCTGTATTTTTCTTTCACTCCAGTAAACACCTGAGGCCTGCATGTTGACTACATGACTTTATACAAGTCACTTTTAAAGGATTTACTTCATTTGGTCAGAATTTCTCGAGACCGTGGCGATGGAAAACATAACATACACTAATATACACTAGTTCACTCAATTCCAACAGCTCTATACGTTTGCATTATTTCTCATGACATTTGGTTATTGATTATTAATTCAGTCATTTGGACTAAAACAGGTATAAAACACACACATCTACCTGCTGTTATATGTCCTTGTGTTTCAGTTGTTAATTATACACGATTAATCATGATCGATCCACAGCTACCTGGGGATCCTTGGATTATTTTAATCATCTGACAGCCCTGTTATTAAATGTAAATCATTGCAAATGTCACATGAATACTATCACTGTGACTGAGTGCAGCCCAAGATGCTAAATCAACAGCAGTTTTTGTATTACTCTAACCTCTCAGCAGCACAGTCTGCACTCCTCCACCTCCCATTTAAGTATAACCTCGTACACAGACACACGCGCACACACACACACACACACACACACACACACACTCCCTGTGGCCCCGGGCCCCTCTCTGTGCCACCCTGGCACGGTGACTTTGGCAGTTAGCAGCACCAGCAGCTGGTGGGGCATCTGCTCGACAAGTGTAATCGTCTGCTGAACAAAATTCTTCCTCTGAGTGGAGCTGCTCTCTGCCCTGCCCCCTGCGATCTGTCTCCTTGTTGAACACCTATGCACACACACACACACACACACACATGCAGGAGTGTAGTGGTTGCCAACTCTCCTGCTGGGCAGCCATGAAAACGAACTCACAAACACACAAAGAGATCAAAAACACATAGAAAACACACGACGCATGCAGACACACTGACACAGCTGTCCACTTTGACAAACACACACACACACACGCAGCCTTTTGCAGCCAGCCCATAATTAAAGACTGGTTAGTGGGAGACATGATCATCAGTGACCTTCTGTCAGAGAGCTCAGGTGTGAGGTGCTGCGCTGACTGTGGTTGTCTCTCTGTGCAGAACTACGGCGGTGGGATGAGGCCTCCTCCAAACTCCATGGGTCCAGGGATGCCCGGCATGAACATGTGAGTAAACGGACAAAAAAAAAGAACCTTAACCTCATTAATGAAAGATTAGTACTGTTAATGAGCTCATAATTAAACAATCTCACTTGA